GAGCACCTCGAGAGGCGTGTTTAACTGAGACATGCTGCCAACAGATACTCAGAATAACTCCTGAATGTGTGGCATAATACTTTGTGAAATTATTTTCATGTTGTATTTGCATTATAAGTAGATTCATTAAAAGGTTTAGTATTGTGTCGATGATCAGTATTGTGGGCCATGATGTGCTATTCCAGCGGGGCATAGAAACACTAATCATGGGAAGGGAAAGAGGCACAAGTTATAGGAAGACTCTTCTGTTTATTATTAACATTTTTTAAGATTTAGCATAAAATGCAGATGTACTTTATGCCATTCAATGGAAATATAGAATAATGAATAAAGATATTCTTGTTCATCTCAGACTGTTAAAAATAAACTTTGAAATTTTTCGATACACGGAATTCAGTGTTTGAATGTTACCTATGATCTGATTATGTTGGCTCAAGTCATGGCATGGGAAATAAAGTAGATGTGAACCTAATTTAATCGTTGTAATTCAAATACTCCTTCAAAGAATACCTGGTTTGAACAATTCCTGCTAATACCTCCATCATTCCAAATATGAAGGAAATGTTAAATACGAAATATTATACAATAGTACCTTGTCAACATATTTGCTATACATTTACAATTTTATATTCAATACGACAAAATAAACAGATTAAAATATTATTCGCACCGTGTGTTACAAGCTTTATTTGTTGTATATACCTTTCGCTACCAGGTGTACGTCTGATTAGATAACATTATGTACATTACCGTAATTAACATAGTCAAAACGCTACGGGGCCTTGAAACGCAGGTGGAAGAAGTATATAAACCCATGTCTGAGCTGATTCGAACGTGTCACACCGTGCATAAACACTTCCAGCAAGGATGAAGCTCTCGATAGTTGCGGGTATTGCTTTTCTAGCAACGGTGGCAACATGTCAGAATTTAACGCAAGTTGTACATACCGATAAAGGACCTGTGCAGGGTTTTGTAACGACGACCGCGATCTACAATGTACCATATTCCGCCTTTTTAGGGATTCCCTACGCGAAACCACCTGTGGGAGACCTCAGATTCAAGGTAAGACATTGAACAAAAATAGAGCATAGTTAACTTGCATAAAACTAAAATACTTCTAACTACATTTAAGCCTTTGCGTTCGAAAGGACAGTAACGCGAGATGTGACTTTTGGTCACCACTAGGTTTGACGCAGTAAATCAACCAGCAACAATGTTTGCTTTAGTTTAAATTCATTGGAATTTGAAGTGTCAATAAAATCATCGTTGAAAGGGTAACCTGATTTTCAAATCGCAAATTAGCTTAACATTCGTGACAATAGAACACTAAGAAAGCATCTCGAGTTGTTGATATATACCAGTAAAAAAGGCCCGAGTGCAAAGGGTTAAAACGAACTATCATATTTTAACACATATAATACTTAACTGCAAAAAACGAACATTTGAATTACGGAAAATTTGATTAGTTCGTGTTATATAAAGTATTCATATATTAACAGCTATTGAATATTGTTGAATTATTATACAATACAGCGCAATCACAATTATTATAAAAGTATATATTATACAGAATATTCATCCCATATAAATGGAATGTGTAAAGGACCAAGTTGGTCTAGTTTCCAAATAACGAAGACGATTTCATTTCTTAAGCATGAATTTGTGTCATTAAAAAAAAAAATTGCAGAAAATTTTCGAAAACTCTTGTTACTAACAAAAACAGAGGATACACACTTAACTGCAAAGGACGTTTTATATACAAATGCAGCTACAGAATCATCTCCATTTTCCTATTTAAAATTTCGGACAACCTTTCTTTAATCTGTTTTTTTAAAGGATCCTGTTGAAATAAATCCTTGGACTAATGTGTACAACGCCACAGACGATCTTAATTCGTGTCCACAATTATTGGAAGGCACATACAGCGGAAGTGAAGATTGCCTGCAACTGAATGTATACACTCCCAAGGTAAGTCTCGTAGAGGGTGTCAACTAAACACTTTCATCGTTCATCACTAGACTGCGTATCTTTATGCAAAATAAAATCTTCGCCAACGTGCCTACAAAAATTGAACCTAAATAGGAATTTATTTTATTCTGCAAATATTATAACATAAACTTTACTTTCAATTTTTTTTGTATTAGGAGGTTCCATTGAAAGTCGCTGTTTTTCGTGTTTTTTCTGCACTTATTTCAATAGTAAAGTATATAAAAGTATCAATTGAAATATTTGACCTCAAAAGCTACTACTTTTTCCGACTTCTTTGGTAAAAATTGAATTCCGCGACGAAAGAACGGTTTATCTTCCGAGTTTATCCATTCAGGAAATGTGTGTGTTCCAACCCATGTTGCATCGATCTGAACAAATGATAATCACCTGGGATCAGGTCTGGAGAGTAGGCTGGCTGAGGGAGAATCTCCCATTCGAACTCCGTCAGTGTTTCTTTTATAGTTCTAGCAACATGAGGCTGAGCATTGTTGTGGAGAATGATCACTTTTTGGCGATTTGATGCAATTGATGGTCGTTTTTCTATCAAATTATCGTGTAAACGCTTCAATTGTTGGCAATAATGTTCGACGGTGACTGTTTCATGTGGTTTCAACAACTCATAATGTACGACGGCTCTCACTGTCTACAGTATTCGCAGTAAAATCCATGTATACATAAACAGCGGCTTTTAATGCAACCTCCTAATATATTCTTGCATATTGTTCGCATTTATAGGCTCTTGCACATTCGAATTTCCCATAAATGCATAAAGGTCCGCAGTCTATTCACCACAATTATTTTCACATGGTTCAGATGATGTACAATTGTATGAATTTTAGTGATAGATATTACATAGTGAATGAATTTCCATCATTAACTTTTTGCTAGCTGGATTTCACCAAAAACGCAACTCCGAAAGCGGTGTTAGTATGGATACACGGTGGTGGATTCATAAGTGGAGTCAATTTTAAGAGTGTGTACGGCCCTGACCGATATATTGAAGAAGATGTCATAATGGTCGCGATGAAGTACCGTCTTGGTCCTTTAGGTACAAAGAAGATATCTTGATGCTATGAAATATTCAACAAACTAGGTACAAACGGATGTGTCTCTTATTTTTTTAGGATTTTTGTCACTGGATCATCCTGACGCACGAGGAAAT